ACTTAAAACTCACTTAAAATCAATACCAGTGTCTCAAAGCAATCAGCTGTGCACAGACCCTGCTCGACTACGCCACTGTGACAGGTTCGGTCACAGACCCCCTTTGGACTGTCACCTGATGTGCTGAAGTTACCCCTGCCAGCTTGGGACTCCAGAACCCTGCCTTGTTGAGCCAGACACACTAGCCTGCTACAACCGGACCGGACCGCCCGACTTGCACCGCTGGGTGGTACTTTCAAAAAGAACTTAGTGTCCCAAAAAGCAAAGAGGAAGACTGCACAGAATACAATTGTGTTCAAAGTTGTTAGTGATACCAACTTCCCACTGCTCCTGGAAAAGCAACAGGTAATCGGTACGTAATCATTGCAAATCAGACCTCGCACAGCAAACTCTTCACAGCTCAGGAATTAATCTGGTGTAGCTGCATCACCTGCTCAGGCAGTTTTCTGCTATAAACGTACATCGGTACAACTACAAATCCACCCCCCTGAGCGATGCCCTGGAGTTACTCCACATTTACACAAACTGATGGATGGTTCACAAAGAACGATTTTCAAAATGTTGTAAGCTGGCCAAATCAAAATCAGATTTCAGCTGGACACATCTGGCTGGATTTCCGAATTTCCGCTTTATACTTCCACCTTTGACCTGATCTGTTTCAAACAAAACAAAAACAAACACACAAAGCAATTTACAATAACTGAAGAGTATATTTTTTCACTATCTTTGCTGTCGGAAAATAAAGATTCACCCTCAGGTAACAGCCAGAGCTCTGTGCCTGTTGATTATAGACAACGCAGTGAAGAGTTGATTGAGGGAAAAGGGTAAGAAATGAAGTGTCAGACACTGAGCAATTCCTTAGCCAAGTGGGATGAAAAGAATTCCAGTCCCCTCTGCTTGTAAAAGCAAAAAGGACAATATGGGACTCACACACACTGATCTAAACCCCTTAAATCAATCGAAAAGTGTCTGGGTGGAGCTCACAGAAATTAGACTTGTTTCAATAGATTCCGTTGTACTTTCAGTTTCCGTATTACTTCATCGCAGATTTACAGGAAGAAAGAGAGAGAGAGAGACGGCTGAAAAACAAAAGGATTACCCTGTTTCTTTAACTTCCCCAAGAAGGTCCCAGGAATGGCAGCACTCAGGGGTGGAAGGTAAGAGATTTTCTGCTCCAGGGTGGGTTGGTGAGATTGATTCTCGGTGTCCTTTTAGCAGCTTCATTGTGTCTCTAAATTGAAGGCACAAATGATTGGAAATGGTTGCTATAAAGGCCTCACTGAAAATAGCTTTTAGATACCCCGTGTTTACCATTCCACGCTCAACTCCACCCTGATAACCCAGCCAAAGACCACTCCAGGGGCTTTTCGTTAGAGCTGGGCAGAACTGTTTGGCCAAAACATTGTTTTGTGTGTGTGGAAAAAATGCAGGTTTGGTGACACTGAAATGTTTTGTGAATTTCAGTTGCTTTTGACAAATTATTCGTTTCGGGGGGAGGGGCAGCCTAATTGCAGGAAAAAACAGACATGACATCTTGTAAATGAAAGTTTCAAAGTGTCTTTTTGTGTCACAATTTCCTCCGATTTCTTTAATTCCACAGTGATTAAACAAATGGTAGAACTCAAACGTAACGTTTCCTTTGTCCCAAAACAAAACATGTAACTTGTTAATTAGCTGACAGTTTTTAAAAGTTCTGTTTTTGGATCAACCCCAAATGCTTTTTATTCAAAATTACCAACAAACTGCAAAATCCATTCTTTCCCCAGCTCTAGATGCATAGAGTCATAGGATTGGCAGAGAGCTCAAGAGGATTTCTAGTCCAGTCCCCGGCACTCATGACAGGACAAAGTATTATTTAGACCCGAGGCCCCAGGTCGGGGGAGGAAGGGGGTCATGCGGGTCAAGTGTCCCCCAGCAGCTGGCCTGGGTGGGGAGCGGACCAGAGCCGGAGAGACGGGGGGGGGGAC